TGCTGGAGCGCCGGAGCCTGCGCCGAGGAAGGCGACTTCAGCCAAATTGGCGCAGCTGGAGATAGGAAAGAGAGGGGTCAGTCCCTCCTCCTGCCTGGCCAAGGGTGCAGCATGCAAGAGAGAGCGATTCGGATGTGGAGACTCAGCACCTGGAGCACTCGGATGCCCGGGAACAGTGGGAAACTGGGAGGCAGAAGATGGGCAGACTCATGACATGTATTGCGGGCAGGCACTAGATGGCAGGGGACCGGCATCCTAGAGTGCTGCTTGGAATGGGGCCACACTTACAGTTCCCAAATGCAGGGAGACCTGAGCTCAGAGGACCATGGATGGGCTTCACACGCCTATTCCGTAGCTACCAAAATGTCCAAACACGCTGCCACCTTCCAGCCCCGCATTCTGCCCCAGCCTAGGCTTTCCATACCTGGCCCCCGAGTGCTCACCCCGGTACCCCGGCGAGGAATTACCCCCAGGGGTCACAGAATGCTGCAGGACCCGCACTGACACCAGGCGAGCGGTGCCAGCCCCTCCACGGTCCCGCTGGACCCTCCTGGGCGCTGCCACCAGCCCTCTCGGTCTCAGACACCAGGTAGAGCAGCCTGATGTGTGGCACCGCGTCTGGACTGCCAGCTGCCGAATTCAGCCCGCTCTGCAAGCTGTCGCCCCTGGCCCCGCGCGCAGCGGGAGCTCCTTCCCCAGGTGGGCTTGGCATCTCCCACCCCAGGGTACCAGCACCCGGATTCACACTCCCAGCTGCCGAAACTCCTCCGAGTGCAGCAGAATTACCTCCTGGGGGCAGCTGCTCCGGGATTCCTCCCTTTCCCTGTCCTCACCCAGCCGAATACAGCGGGACGTATCAATAACCCATTCTCACCAGCACCGGGGTTCACGCTTCCTGCTACCACACCAGCAATGACTGTGTCTCTGCTTCTTGGACCGTGAACTCTGCAATGCTTGTGGGCACTGAGCAAAGCAGAGGCATGGGGTGCCTGGGGCACCGGGCAGCGTGTGGAGGGTCTCACTGCCAGTGCCCAAACTCGCTCTGCTCGATGCTTGGAGATAGCTGCTAGGTTCCACGGTCCCAGATCGCAGCCTTGTCTCGGTAGCTGTCACTGTAGCCCTGAATGCTGACCAGGAGTTAAAAAATGACAGCCAACCTAGTGTTCTTCCTCTACCAGGAGGGCTGGGTCCTCCTCAGGTTTGTTTTGATTTTTTATCACTATTTTGAGTGGGATTGTTGCCGTGGGGGAGCTGGGCAAAGAAAGGATTTGCATGAAGCTCTTAGTGCTGCAGGGTTGCTAATGGCGAGCGTTATTTCATCCGGCAGTAAGTTTCATAATCTTGGCCCAGCTCCTGTGAATGTTCTGTTCCTCAGGGTTATGAGCCTCTTTCCCCTTCTCCCACCCCTTCCCCCGCTCCCCAAACTGGTCGGCAATTCCATTGTTCCAGTGGAATATATCCGTCATGTGAGGTCATCGCTGCATAAGGAGAGGTGATTGATTGCTTAGGTCACTGGGGCCTGTCCCATGCTGGGCTTTGAATGCTGGGTTGGGGACCTTGAACCGGACTTTGCGCTCAGAGGCAAGGCGATGTGGGGTGCAGAGGGGCACGGTGATGCATTCCCGGCAGCTTGAGTCGCCGAGCAAACAGACTGCTGCATTCTGAACTAGCTGGAGCGCTCTGAGAGCAGACGGTTTCGTTCCTAGAGGCACAGTATCACAGCAGTCAAGCTCGAGATGTTACAAAAATACAGCTAGATCATCATCTGCCAGCCGAGGCAGACAGAATCGGGTGCAACTCTTTTCCCATTCCCGGATGGAAGGAGACTCTACCCACTTCTCGCTAACACGGCTTGTGTGTGCTTGGCTTCATCCAGTTGCTCTCCAGTCAGAGCCGATCTCGGCTAGGCACTGAGAAAGCTGTGAGATTCTCAGATTTTAAGGCCAGAGGGACCATTTTGATCATCGAGTCTGACCTACAGCAGAGCACCGGCTGGAGAATTCTCACCAATTTCATCTCCTGCGTCAGGCCCGTAACTTCTGATTGAACTGTAGCGTCTCTTTCAGAAACACGGCCACGCGAAGGCTCCGGGCGGTAGGGAATACACCACCTGCCCAGGCGAATTGTGCTAGTGTGTGACCCTCTGTATTGATAGTGTTGTCCCTCATTTGAATTTGTCAAACTTCAGCATTTTGTAACAGAAGGTGACAGATTGCATTTGATGTGAGGGAGCTACAGCACGGGCATTGCCTGCACACGCTGGCACCTTGGCTCTTTTATTCCTGTGGCGGCTTTTATATTTGGATAGGATTTATCTCTGGGACCACGGTATACGGGAGTCCTGGACATGGAGAAGGAGTTACTGGCAGCGAATCCTAGGGCTTCCCCGGGGCGCGGTAGCATCTGTACTCTGGAGCTCCGGGTGTCACATTCAGGGCTTAGTCTGTGCTCCCTGCTCAGAGCAGGAGTGTGGCCAGATTTGCTCCTAGGCATTAGTTAGGACATAAATCCCCAGCCCCCTCGGTAAACTGGGATATATGCTTTGGGGCATGGCTGCCGGGGTCTGCTCTCTCACGTCCCGGCAGCAGCGGGTCTGTGTGGCAGGAGGCTTCCAAAGAAGGAGGAGGCACAGCTGGGTCCCTGATGCTGGGCAACAGCAGCAGGATTTGTGCTTCCATCCTGCAAACGCAACGAGAGCAGCTCCTCATAAATTAGCCCCAGGGATCTCTAGCCTGGACTAGTAGTGGGGTCCATATGCAGTACCAAAGAGCTGTGTAATTCTTACTCACTGCTTCCCAGCACCAAGAATCACAAACTGAGCTCAATGAAGTGCCCTGGGGAAATAGCTTTGTCATTCACACTCTGTCATCTGTGCATCACAGGACTGGAACACTGCGATGAAGGCTCTGTACCTAGAGTGGAAATACACAGGTCCGTCACTGGACCCTGGGAGTAGCCCTGTCTGTTTTTATCACAATTAGACCTGGGAAACAGATCTGAAAGCAAGAGCCATGCCATGTGGCACAGGTGCAGAAATCCAGTCTCTCTGCCCTGGCACTCAGAGGCTTCTTGAACGGTATAAGGTGCGTGGATACTGGCATTTATACCTCCAGGTAGTAGGAGCATTGGTGTCCCCTCCTTCTCCTCCTCTCCGCATATCTACCTGTTTATTCAGCATCCACACCAGGAGCTGCACGCAGAGCTGCATGAAGGGCATTTGTTACACTTGCGCTCTGACCCAGCAGGGCCTGTGCCCAGGACACAATCCCCGCTGCCGGTGGCTAACTGCAGAGTGCCCCAGCCACGCTACGTCTGCTGCTTTGTCGATAAGCCACGGGGGCATCCGTGCTCTGTTTTGGACGTGAGCGCTCCACGCACAGTGAGTCCAGCCCTCTCTGGCTGGCATTTCCGCCTGAAACCTTCCTTTGCTCTCGCGGCATTCATGCTACGGGAGACACCTCCGTGCTTCTCCCAGCTCTGCCACAACCACGTCTGGGTGTGCTAGTGCAGGACACGCTCTCAGTCTCCGGCCATGGCACGATTAGTAAACCAGAACCTGTTGGCTGACACCGACTGAAGTTGCCTCATCCCTGCACTCACCTGGAGCCGCCTTTGGGGTCGGGGCACCAGAAGTCACCTGCTCTTTGCTGTTGGCAGCAGGACCTGTGCACGGCAGCGTCTCCGGTCAGAGGCTTACACCGCATGTCCGGGCTGTCGCTTCCACAGCAGTACGTGTGTTGGAGGAGGCCAGTGCTGGGGCTCACTCCTTCCCCTCAGCTCCAGTTACAGCCATTACCTGCTCCCTAGGGCTGAAATTCAGACTGCTGGGTGTGAAACCTATCTGGGGTTTCTTATGCCCAGGTTTTAGACCCTGGGAATCCCTAGTCTGGGGTGCTGTTGCTGGAGCTCACAATCTCAGCGCAGAAGTACGGCGAGGTCTCTGCTATAAGACATCTCAACAAGCAAGAAGAGCGCAGTGGGCTGGGTGACCCACGCTGTGCACCTACACCCAGGCACGTCTGTGCTGTCTGTGTTAGGAGGAGCGCGAGCCCCTGAAGGCCAGAGCTGTAACAGATAACGCTGTGCCACAAGCAGAGCGGAGTCTTCACCCCAGGGAATGACTGTCTCGTTGGAAGTCCATGCACGGCCCCAGGTGTTCCAGGCCACCTTGAAACCACTTGGGTGGCTTGTGTGCCTGGGGACTCACAAGGGGAGGTCCCCGACCCTTGGAATTCCCTTTCTGAAGTCCAAAAGAAATTCTGTCATGGATTTTTGTTGCCAGACGTGATCTTCCACGGCATCGTGATCATAATCCAGATGGCCAAGATCTCACCAGCCTCTGGCTTCGGAAGAAACTTGCTCTGTTCTGCTGCCTCTCTGCAGAGCTGCATTTTAATACTGAGTCCCCTCCGAGGCTTAGAGGTTCAGGAGCAAAGTACAAAGAAATGCTGAGAATAGCTGCTCTTTTCTCCTCATCTTCAACTCAGGACCCCTCCAGAGACTGATCTTGCTCCGCAGGGAAGGGCAGGGCACATTAGCCAACAATTCCTTTTTTCATGTGAACTTTGTTTAAATATTTAACAGAAGGAAACTAAAAATATCCCCAGTTAATGCAGCAGGAGCTAGACAGCTACTTACTCTTGGGTGCCCTTCTTCCCAGCCCCTCTCCTCAGGTGTACCTCACGAGGCGAGAGTCCCCTTACCCATGGCAGGCACCGGGCTCTCCCCTGGTTCAGGAGGGGCTGCAGTTGTAGTGCAGGGCATGGGCTGAGCTGGGGGGGGGTGGGAGGGGCTGGCAGTGACCCTTTGGGAGTCGTGGCTGGAGGCGCAGGGCGCCCGGCCTCTGTATTGACTCCATCGGGCAAGCACCCCCATTCCTCCATCCTGGCAGCTGCAGAAGGGCATGACCATGGGTTGTTGACATCTGTGCTTTCCCCTTCACGATGAAAGAGCGAGCTGAGTATCTTAAATGATTTTTCTGTGTGTGTGTGTGTGTGTGTGTGTGTGCGTGCTCTCCTGTGGTCTTTGTGTGGAGAGGATCCTGGGTCAGGTGCGTAACAGCTCACCGGGGACGGGCCGGCACTGCGCTGTGCCCCGCCGAGGGATGGGGCGGACGGCATGAAGGGCAGCCGTGCTATGGCCCGGCCGGTGCCAGAGGGAAGCGTGCGGCCGGTGCAGAGAACAGCCCTTATCTGTGTGCCTGCTGCTGCCTGGGGCTGCTCGGGCGTGGGAGAGACGGGAGGAATGGGGGAGAAAGACAGGGATGGGACAGCGCAGCGGACACTAGGACAAGGATTGTGGGAAGGTAATTCCATGTTAGCTAAGAGGAAAGCAAATACTAAATACTTGATAGGCATATTTTTGCTCTTAAATTCTTCAGTGAGGCTGGACTTTTCTCGCTGATTCACTCTCTCAGCCTTCTTGGTTTATCGCTCTCTTGCTTCCCCTCTCGCTCCCTCACTCTGGCACACAATGAAGAGGCTCTTTTTTAATAAATGGATTACACACTCTACACTATAAATAAACACAGGAATTAAGATTCCAACTTGTTCCAGCGATAAGCAAACAAAGATGCCGAACCCCCTCTCAGCCCTCAGACAGGAGAGTCCCCAGGGAAGCCACGCATGTGCCTCTGCACGTGTGCTCCAGAGTTCGCTCCAGCGTGCATACGCTAACGCGTGCGTTGCTGTGCGGGGCCGGGGTCGGTGGGATGATGCACCCCGTGTGGGAGGGCACGCGGGCATGGCGGCCACGGCCGCAGAGGTGTGGGCATGTGTGTGTGCACAGGCACCCCACTGCCCAGGGAGGGAGCGGAGCGGTCGCCGCTGGGTGAGGACGCGCTGATGCCTCTCCCTTTCGGTTCCCAGTGAAGAAGATGAGCCAGGATCCTCGCTGAGCGGAGACGCTGTCGCATCTGAGATGGAGCCCAGTGCCTGGTAGGTTCGCAGCTTCCCACGTCCGCCGGCGGTGCGGGAAGGCGGCGGGAGCGTGGGTGGCGGGCTGCTCCCGGCTGCTCCGGGCTCCTCGGCCTTTCGACAGGAGGGATGTTTCAGATAAGGCTCTCTTCTTCTTCCTCCCCTCCGGCCCCGCAGCAGGATGCCTCCGCCCCCCTCCTGCCTCCCC